ACAATCTCATCAATCTGTTGAGCGGTCTTGTTAGGAGGATGGAACTTGTTGTGAAATTGCTTGACCAACTCATCCCAAGTTGCTATAGAGTTTATGGGAAGCGAGTTTAGCCAAACCTGAGCAGCTCCTGTCACCGAGAATGGAAACAATAATAATCTGATTGCTTCCGGAGTCACGTTCGGTTGCCTTTGAGTTTTGCAAATAGACAGGAAGTTCTTTAAGTGTTGCTGCGGGTCTTCTATTTGTGTCCCAGAAAAAAGTCCCTTGTTCTGCAATAAGTGTAGCATGTTATTTGTGATCTGGAACGATTCAGCTCGTATTGCAGGCACAATAATGGCAGTGGCCAGATTGTCAGCTGTGGGTTGTGCCCAGTCATAAAGTGCACCCTCAGGCACAGGAGGTGCCAATTGCTCATTCCTGACGTTCCCGTTGGGGTCGTTTATGTCGCCCATGTCAATTTCGAGTTGGTGTATTTGTTGTGATTGTTGAAGTCTTTTGTTTGCACGATTCAATGCCCGGAATGTCTTCTCGGGGTCCGAGAGTCCTTCAAGCAGTTCTCCAGTCCTCGTAGAATTTCTAGGCATGCACCTGTGCACCCAGATCAACAACCGTCAAATTTTCAATGAAAAAGTTGGTAGAGAGAAAACTGACTACAGCAAGAATCTTTGTATTTCTGTCAATGGCAATTGATAATTTCGTTAACTCCCCGGCAACGGCGCCAAAAATTGATCACGCCCAACTATGCCTTATAAAAAGGACTCTGCGGACGTTGCAAATATAACCCGAGTATTACGCCCAGGGTCGAATCCACAGAGAGTTAACCTATCAACTGCTATCTTCAGACCCACTAAGTCTTCAGAACCAGCTTCCCAAATATTCGAATCTCAGTTGAGTGTTCTTTAATAACTAGCTTGCAAATAACTAAATGGCTGTAACTAAGTAAAAATTAAAGGTTGTAAACAATTATGAGAAAAAGCTAAGGCAATGATTTCCCCTATTGATGGAATCCCTTCTGTTTATGCTCATACAAATTTACCCACACATCTCTATCAATCATGAACGCTAATCTTACCGTAAATCTCTCCCGAGTAATCACAGTAATTTACTATTGCACTCTACCGAGATACACTAGCTTACTTTATTTAGCACAATTCAATTTAGATTGCACCCAAGGCTTCGTTATTCCTAATCCCGCCTTTAAACCCGCAATTATAGATTCCTCTAATAATCTAGGAGTGGTGTTGTTCAACAATACCCTAAATATGCACTCTTTTCCAAGTTATGCACAATAAATAGGCACAGCTAATTGAGGATCCTGTCAATTAACTACAACGAACACGAAGTTGAACAAATAAAGATTAAACTAGCAATTTGTATTCACATAAACAAGAAGTTCATCACCCAATAGGTTCCATCAACGCCTTAGACAAGGAATTTAGCTACTCATGACTATGGGAACATAAACTAAGCTTGAATTCATCATAAAATCAAAAGAAAAGAAGAAAGATGTTTAGAGTACTTTCTCACAATTGTTTTCCTTGCTAAGAAACCTAAAAAATCAATACATGCCTCTCTTGGGCGAAGTCTAATGTTTTAAATAGGGTTTAGGTCTAAAAATCCCGTAATTGACACTTTGGTCCCAGAAGTTTCTGCGCCTGCCGCGGTTCTGCCGCGGTCGCGGTAGAACCGCGGCCAAACACCCTCGCGGAATCTCTGAACTTCTGCAGCTGCTTCCCACCGCGGTTCTGCCGCGGTCGCGGTGGAACCGCGGTGGATCCAGTTCTCTGATTCTTCGGCCTGTTTTTGCACGGGTCACTTAGGAAATTTCACAGTTGGCCTCTTTTTCATCACTTTTGACTCCAAAACTGCTCCTTAGCCGTCTTTATACATATATCACCTACAAATCATGAAAAGCACTAATAAGAGCATTTTGTCATCACTTTTAGCATTAAAACTACACAAGAAGGTGATTATTTAAGGTGTGATTATAGACAAATTCACCTATTATCAATTATCCCTCAACTTCTTCTTTCTCTTCAATTAATAAAGAGCTATTCTTTGTGTGACCGTGGAGTAATATTGCCAAACTACCTAAATCTTGTCTTGTCTTGTGCAAATTATTGATTTTCTCTTTTAAATATTTTTTTCCTTCTATTATCCTGACACGCTTCCCAACAGAAGTATGATAACTTCAATTTCCAAGGATCCCATATGATAAAAGCTTAATTCGTGGAATTGAAATACCTTTTTTCCTATATATTCTACACTATCTTGTACTCCCTCCGTTCACTTTAACTTGTCCACTATTCTAAAAATAAATTTTTAATTTTATTTGTCCGTTTTCGCATATCAAGAGAAAAATAATTTATTTTTCCTATTTTGCCCTTAGCATTAATTACTCATTCCAAATTATTTTTCAAATCCATTGACTATACACCAATTAATATGGGTATCATGGTAAATTATGCACTTTACTTATTATTTTTAAGGAGGTGCAAAGTCAATAATGAACCAGTAAAAATGAACTAATGGAGTAGTAGCAAAAGTTTCTCTAAAAAAGTATTTGTATACCTATTGAAACATGATGGAACAGTAAGAGAAGGAGAGACTTAAAGGTGTGATAGCGGAGATGCAAAGGGAACTAATATAAAAAGATCGAAACGTGAACTTTTTGCAGTGCTATATTGACTCGAAAAACGTTGTAGACTTTTAGTGAAGTTGAAGTTGGTTCAATTACACGTCGACATTAATGACCTGATACAACGGCGTCGGGCTGGGGAAGAATATTAAGTATTCGAAAATCTTCAACAAAAACTTTTAATCTTTCTGAAATTTATTTTAACACCATTAGAGGAACTGAAAAACACCATAACTATTTTTCTATTCTCGTTAAAATTGAAAAGATTTCTCTAGTGACGTTTACTCACGATTATGCTACATTATATTGTTGGAGTGACTTGTATACTGTTGAATACCGACGCACAAAGAAAATATTTTGTTGCGAATGAACAAGATATTGAGAAATTGTCCATACGTTGAATATTGTATATCAAAATAGTATATAGTATATCATGTAAAGTTAAAGGATTTCACCTTTCAATCAAATATTATTCCTATAATATTTTGGTATGAATCATATACTAGAACAATTGGAGGAAGAACCACTAGAGTTGATCCAAACTCCTAAACATTATTGACATTTACTTATCATTTTGAAACTTGTAATTTTTTATTAAATTTTATTTTAAATTGTTTACATCTCTAATATAAATTTTATTTATGTTATTTCTAAAAAGTGCATTCTCATTAGAAAAAGTACACGCACAGTAAACATACACCAATAATATGGATATGAAAGGGACTGAGGACATATGCATTTACAAACTAAGAGCATCCTAATGTGAAGATTAGGATGCTCTTAGTTTGTAAATGCATATTTTGGTTTGTTTATGGTAATCTTCACAGCTTTAAACAACCCCCCCCCCCCCCTCCCAAACCCCCCACAAAAAAAAGAGTACTGCTTTTAATGCACTAGGGAACTCATTAATATCTCCGCGAAAAAGAAAAAAAAAAGTTTAATTCCTTTATGATCATGTTTGCGAGAACTGTAAATTATACATCCCAATTGCTCTTATCTTGCTGCTCTATGCTTTTTCAGTTCATGAATAAATAGACCTTTAGCAAGTTGAAACTCTAATACGCAGACCGTTTGGTGCTTGAACTCTGGGAAATTTCATCAGTTTATCTCCTCCAACCTCTTCCCATCTGCAAAACACCACATTCACAAAGTTATACTCAAACAGGAAATACAACGAAATATATTTGGAGTCATGTCATGTGCCCTCTATTAATAAATAAATAAATAATAATTTTGAATTAATCGAACCGGGGTTTAATTATTTGTTACCTGTATCTTGTTACGAAGTAATGAAGAAATGTAGAAATTTCTGCTACACCGAGTTCCTTTCCAGGACATAGTCTGGTACCTCCTCCAAATATCAAGAAAGAATTTTGGTACTCCAGGCTCTTATCCTACATTTTTGCAGCCATTAATTTTGTGTCATACTAATTTATATATTAAAATAAAATTAGAAGTATGAGCTAATCTAGAGGGTTGCAATAGATGCACTACTTTTCCTATATATATGTGTGTGTGCAGAGACAAAATATAATTTACTGTTGATTGTAAATCCTAAATCTGCTTCGATTTAGAAGCTAAAGAAAATTAATCCTGAATTATAATATTGTTGTTCATAAATTATATAACTACTAACCAGCCATCTCCATGGGTTGAAGGTATATGGATCGAGATAAAACCTTGAATCATAATTAACCTCTCTTGTATACACATATATTCTCCATCCTTTGGGAATGATATATCCTGCCATAATTAAAGCAATTACCAAGATAACATATAATTATAAGGATTCAAGTTATATATAGTAACTACGTAGAATTATTTACCGTAATAGTATAGCTTAACTTACCATTTAATTCCGTATCCTGTGTGGTTTTCCTAAGAACGCCGTTTACAACTGTTGCTAACCTGGAGGTCTCAAAGATCACCTGCACCACAGAAATTTAAAGATTGGATTTGCAAACATTAATCATTTCACAAACAATTTTATCTAAATAGTAAATATAAGTATGTTACACTTACAGCTCGCGTGAATCGCATTGCCTTATAATCGTTGTAATCAATAGGATCCTCTGGCCTTTTCTTTTCTCTGATTGCCATGTGTTCTTTCTATAGAATTACAATTAATCAATTCAATGAATATGAATTAATCAAACAATATAATGTAGATATTTAATTGGTAATTTCACTTCCTATTGGACTTACTCTCAGTTCATCAAGAGCTTTTGGATGATCATGAAGATATTTGATGGCCATCATAGAAGTAGTGGAGACAGTTTCATATCCAGAGTACAAAATGGTTATGATTTGATCAATCATCTCATCATCTGTTAATTTGTATCTATTTGTTTCTTCATTCATCAGGAAACCAAGCATGTCTTGTTGGATTTTCTTGGAAGCTCTTCTATCTTCTATTAGTTTCCTCAGTATGCTGACAATGTTTTTCCTCGCCTGGACACATTCAAACTTTTTGTTATTATTAAAGATTTCACGAGTAAATAGGTCATTTCAGATTTTAATTTTCTATACACTGATAGTGTGAAGGGGTTTTATACTATCAGATCATCTAGGAGATGATTACAGATAACTGTTCATAAGAAATGAGATTGGTGAGTTGAATAATAAGGTAGATTACCTTCTATAACATGTTAAAATATACTTTAATATAAAAATTCTTTATGTTGTTAGTGTATATAAACATTATTAATTAATTACCTGGAATGCACGACGATAGTTTGTGTTGGGAAGGTTGATAGGGAGTGAAATAGTCCCTAGTACAAGCTTGAAGAATTCAGGCATTATTTCTTGAGCTATTGAGCTAGATTGAATCCCAGCAATTTGTTTCAATGATGAGAGAAATGCCATCTGCACGGGGTGGTTTGTGGGGTGTGGAGGGATAAAAAAGGCAATTTGTTAGCACTTTATTAGAATAGTACTGGAAGAATATATGAGACCAAATCATAGTAGAGACAAAAAACGCGAATGATTTCTTCCTATCTGTCCCTAACTAGTGGAATAGTCAATATCAGTAAAATTGACCCTAACACCACCGTTATAAAAAAGAAAAAGATAGATGAACAATTCAAAACAAGACTTTTCTTTAGATTTTGCATAGCTCATAGATATATATACCCACCTCTTTCGTCTTTTCTTGAATATCAATGACATTGTTTTCCAAATTGCTCCAATGGGATCTCATGAATTCATCAATTTTCGGCAAAATTTGGTCTCTTATCATAGTAGGGCTGATTAGAGATAGTAATGCCCCTCTCATGTACTTGTGAGCAGCACCATGGACAGCTGCAATATTGTATTTTCCTAAAATGTCTAACATGGACTGTGGGTAACCTGGGACCAGTCCCTTTGCCTCATTAATCAGAATATATCCATTTAACTCTGGATCCATAGACACAATGGTAGGGCAACCAAGTATGTGGGATTTGAAGAAATTCCCATACCTGTTACACAAACACATACATATCACTTAGGTAAGAATTCAATTAGAGACCGGGGGAGGCGGGGAGCTAGAGCTTCGGACGCGGGTTCAGCCGAACCTAGTAGCATTGGTCCAAACTCTATATTTGTCTTTAAAAATTCATTGAATAAGTACAAATTATTAATTTAAACCCAGTAACTTTGAAGGAATAGAATCCCAAACCCATTAGTTTCAAATCCTGACTCCGCCTTTGGAGGACTCTATATGCTATCAATGGAAATAGCATGTAATCAAAAGGCAGGATATAATAAATTATAGACATATAAAACACTTGTGATTTTGAAGCATCACTGGAAGATCTACTCTTTACGCTAGTGAATGAAATTTAATGACAGAATCAAAAATTCTAATAAGGGGATTAAAAAATATTAGAGAGTACCATGGCATTTGAATTAAGTTGCTTCCCTTAATTTAGGGGGATTCAACAATTTAATATAATAAGAAATCTCTTTTTTACCAACATACCAAATAAAAATTTTCGAAAAAGGAAATTCAATAAATGCCCTTCAAACTATGACCTCACTAATGATAAGTGGAAGAAAAGAAATGTGTTATATCCGCGCATATATATATATATATATATATATATATATATATATATATATATATATATCAATGG